ACTTAAATATTTATAATCAGATATTTATAATAACAGGATACATGTCATGGCGATTTTGGGTTTTTTGAGCAGAGAGTGGGAGAGGGGGTAGGTGAGGGAGGGGTTGGGGATGAAACAGTGAACTAATTATCAAACCCAAACAATACACAGCTATGTCATTTCATTAACTACTAGCCAAGTTGGCCACTGAAAAAGCATGTTATATTTGAAATTTCTTTTCATTTTTCAGAATTTACGTGGAGAGAAGAATCCAAGTTCTATAGCTCTGGAGCTATTAAATGTGAATTAATATTTAGGTTTTCATTACTATATCGTACAAATAACTAAAATTAAGCAAACCTTTAATCAGATATAGAAACTACTCAGTAGAATACAATATATATGTTCATAATTTTTATACAGACTGTCAGAGGTTCATCGGAAGAGTTAAATGTTCTGTTCATCATTTTTACACATACTGACAGTGGACATCATTTTGTTGATAACTGCTGGGGTTTGGGGAATCCTTTAAATCAATTGCCATATAAAACAATATCCTTTCAACGGTAAAAATACCACCTAAAAATACACAATTTTTTACTGCTTTCAAATAACGATGAAAGATAAAGATCTAAATGGACACTTCTTTTAAAAACAATTTATAACTTAATTTCTGACAATTTATGGTCTTTAAGTAAATTATAGCATAATACTTGTGTCAATTGATCTATTTATGGATCATTATCTATTGTAGATGCATGATGCTAATGTCATAAAACCCTCTTAGAAATTACAAAATTACTGAATTAAAAACTCCCCCTAGGGTTTTATCATATGTTTTACTTAGTTTGCATATTAAACCTCAAATCAAACTCAATTAATCCTGTTTCATCCCTTAAAGTATCTATAAAGGTAAGTAGCCATAAAAAGCCTACAATGTCCATTTCAAATAAGGATGTTTGATAAATATAACAGAGTGCTGTATATGGAATCAAATTAATTTAACCGCATATATTTGAGTGCTATTTCTGGTACAAAGCCTATATTGAATGCTGATGGTGAAATTTGTACTACAAGATGGTCTGCTCCATAAAAAATTAATCCTTGGTTTCTTTTTAAGCCAGACTGACATTTCATCATGCACGAAAATAAACGTAGCGTCAGACGTGTACAATCATGGGAACAGCACTGTTTCACCAATCTGCATTTTTTTTAAAGTCAGTTCTAGATTACCAAATCGGCTTCCCTGTTTGTTGAACTTTACACATCATTACACACCAAATGTCAGTAAAACAATGTACCAGTATACTAACAGTACAAAACAGTATACTAACAGTACAAAACAGTAAACTAACATTACAAAACAATTTCGGCTTCTTCAGCTTCTCAAACTAGAGGACAAATAAAATAACCTAAATCTACAAAAGTCTGTTCCTTACCTCGCATGATTATGAAGAGGGAAAGAGAAGGACATTTTTTCAAACAGCCCAAAAATAGATTCTCAGGAGTGCATGATTAAAAGATTAAGCAGATTTTGTAGGTCCATCAACACAGAAAGTCGCACAAGGCAAAGTAATGATAAAATGACTAAACAATTTGTGAAAATTAGAAGCAGAGAGGAAAGAAAATAGAAAAGTTACCAAATTTAAGGATTTATGCTGTGTTAGTGTGACATTCAATTTATTTCAGAAAAGAGTTCCATCCCAGGAAACCTTGAGATCTTATTCAGTTATTACTGACATGATCAGACAATTTGAAAGGTACACAAGTAATTCTACAAATCAGAAAACACTAAAATTAAAAGTTGTGTAAGGCATGTGACTCTGAACAAATCATATGTATAATATATAAGGTAGCATACACCCTTAAGTTGTATTTTAAAACATGTAATAAACTACATGCCTATTTTGCCTTTTGTATTGCTAAACTTGCTTATTCATATTCTTTAGTGCAACACAAAACAAAATATTATTTCTTCTCAAAAATGCTTCATCTTTTTTATTGTTCTATAAGATGAGCTCAATCAAGCGTTATCTAACCAAGTGACTGAGTACTGACTGTAAACAAAATGTTCACAATAGAATAAAATTGTTCACTTTGTTCTCTTTAACTCGGATAATAGCATTCACTAATGGCTGCTCATTCAGGGACTAAATTGCTAGTTTAACAGAAACGAAATTTTTTAAACTTTGTTGCGTTCTCAAAATCACAGCACTGGGGACTGTGCACATCTTTCTTAAAATGAAACTACATGTGAAGTCGAAAACACATTGCATTTTGTCAACATGCTATCTGCAAAGCAGAACTAAGCGAAAAACAAGTAAGAAATATTCTAGATGTAGCTACGTCTCACTCAGCGAACCTGTATTAATTATCTGAACACATTATGGTCTAGGGACTTGATTAAGGAGAGATTAGGAGTGTAACCGATACCATAGCAATGATAATCAATTCAATTACCCCCAAAAAAAACTCCTTCGAAACGAAAATAGTTTGATGCCCAAGTCGGTGTGAGTAAACAAATAAATGTTCAAAAAGATAAAATGTATAGCTAAAGCAACTATTTTCCACACAAACGTGACATCTTCAAGCAACAAATGGTAATGTAGCTTGGATTTGGTGACTAAAAGTTGATTGCTGTCAAAAAAGTAAATTTTTAAGTAAATGCAGTTTATAAACATAAAAGATACATTTCTTCGCAGAAATCATTTATGGGGCACTTACGTGACAGAAGAGGAAATTTTCAAACAAATTTGTATTTTTTTTGTGGCTAAAAAATGCATGGTACTACTATATAGCTAGCAGATAAAGGTAAATTTGTTCACAAATCATTTATGTTGAATGCTGGTGACAAAAAGAAAACTTCAAACCAATTGGTGAAGCTTGAAGAGTGTGACAGATAAAGATAAAACAGGCCTATCATGGATCTGATCGCAGTTTGCAACGCAAGTACAGTTGTAATAAAACACAAGTTCTAATTTAACTATTACGGACCTAGGTGCCAGCTAGAAAACAAGTTTTAAAGAACCAAATAAATAAACAAAAACGCTGATAGCTGGAAATGAGAAAAAAACATCTAGAATCGCTTTAAAGCTAACAGAGAACCAAAAACAAATGCTGACCTTTTCATGAAATAAGATTTTACCGAAGGTAATTACAGTGCAATGGAATTGGTCGTAACTTCTCCATGTAGTTGTTTTTACATAGGATTTAACATTTAGAAAGGATTGTTTTTGACTGAAGATTTAAAGACTTTTCAATAGAAGTTTTTTATGACTTGTCACCATATTCACTTTTCAATAAAAAGTAGGAAAACAATTTTCACTGGAATTGTTTTTCAATTAAGTCTTCACTGAAGTTAGGAAGCACTTTTCAACGAATTGATTTTTTGACAGAATTTAGGTAGAAAGACCTTTTAACGGAAATTTTTTAAGGTATAATTTTTCAATGGAATTGATTTTGACGGAAAGCTGTCTGGTAAAATTGTGCTTTCCCAACTACATTATCATCGGTCCGAGATGCATCATCCTTGCGGTATTCACGGCAGCCATTTAAACGTTAGAAGTATAGCTCATCACTAGGAAACAGTGTTTCTAATTGTCTGAGGGAAACCAAGTGAAGGACACAACTGGCATGATCACTTCACAGAAATCAATACTGGAATTTTTCGAGCACATAAAAAAAAGGGAAGACTTTAAATTCCAAAAACAAACATCTTTAAAGAATCATTAACCTAGATGATATTTTTAGACCTGCTGCTATGAAACTACTCGACAGGATGACCTCAAGCTGTGATGTCGTCAAATGGTCATGTGACACAAATTTTGTTTGAAAATATTAAGCACCAGTCATGTTTACTTAAATATCTGTCAATGTACAGGATTGAAAAATAAACCTTAGGGACAGTTTCTATAAACACATCCCATGCTCACAGGTTTATTGAAATGCTTCACACCACACCAATTAACCTTGAAGCTACAAATCAACATTTGCTAATATCACATTCGTATTGAAATTCAATTATACGCACTTTTTGCGTAAGAATCAATCGATAATGATCAATATGATGACCAAGTGATCTGCTGAAAAAGACACCAAGATGACCAAGTGATCTGCTGGAGAGAAAAAAACAAGATGACAAAGTGATCTGCTGAAAAAACAATCTGGGTAATAATCCTTTAATGATGTATATATGTGACCAATCAGTCTTTACATGTTTAACTTTGGTTTGTATCAGAGTTATTCCCCTTAAAATATGTTTAAATAACCCTGTCCAAATTAGAATGCACATGAGTTCGTTGACAAGATTTATTTATGTAGAACTCTTTTGGAATGGAGGTGCATATGTCACAGTAAGGTACAAAATTTATCCCAAACTGATGTTGTAATAAGACCTGTTATCAATACTTGAAGCAGAAAACTCCCACCCACTGATCAAAGAGATATATTGTGATGATAAATTCTAAAATCTCTAAATCTCTAAAGCTTATTTAGCAAATTTCTCAAATGAGGGTATATTTTTGCTGTAAAGGCCCACTGGCTTTCTAATTAAAAAAGTCAAGAGAAGTGAAATGAAAAGCCAATGATTCATTTATGTAAACTAATATGTTGCCAGAAGAAAATTTGCATCAAGATCAATTCTATCACAAAATATAGCAAGTGCTAGCCTACAAATGGCCGTTATGTAGTCACTTTCTACCTTTGTGATTTCGTTCAGTTTTCACTTTTCACACCTTGCTGTATGCAGGTTCCATACTGTCGGAGCAATGCAACATAATGATTTGTGGTTTTTTTGTTTTTGTTGATGAAAAAGTTTTACATATTCCCTTCACACTCGTGCCGAACAGCATCGATCCAAAACCTATTTTGTCACAATATAAAATGTGTAATATAATTATTAAAACTAATTTTTACTGCCAGTCACTGCATACATAGGTAAGAATTTCGTCAAATAATTCTGATAATTCCTTTGTTTTTACCAAACAATATAAACAAATTCAGCAAAAGATAATAACACTCACCTCACTTCTGTGACCTCTCAGGTTGAAATTTGACCTCTGTGGAGCATCATACTTTCGACAGTGGCTGGTAGTGAAGGTGATTCCAACAATACCCTTGGCATTGCCACTAGCCAGCCATCCCTCTGAGTAATATTGGCTTCTATTTAGTTTCCACCCTCCATCTTCCTCCGGAAGACTTTCCGGAACTTTTCCCATCCAGGACAGGGTGTGGATGGTACACTCTGTTCTTGTGGATGTGTTTTGTTCAAAATGCACATGCATGATGCCAGGAACCTTCTCAAGGTATTTTAATTAATGGCTAAGCCTTCAAATCTCACATTGTAATACTTCAATCTTCCCATGGCCACTTCATCTGTAAAATAAAACCAACAAATCAGTTAAAAATCTCAGATGAATTTATTAACAACAATTTCCATACAATTAAGACATAAATCAATCAAATATACTTGATAAACTAATTCAGCTACATTCAACTGATAAACATATTGATTAAACAATCAGATGGCCAAGCAAAACAAAACAGAATTTAAATGGAGATTTCAGAAGTGTCACCCGAAACATTAATTCCATTTCATGACAATTCATGTGATGTCTTCTTGTAGCTTTTCAGGCAGATATAATGTCGCCTTCATTCAAGTTTTACTGTCGTGAATCTGGTATACTTATCTTAACTAATTTCATTTGATGACCCAGGAACTAAGTCACATGGGGCCAGGCTGTACTGAGGTGCCAATCATGGTAGCATGATTGTGCAATCATATTTTGAAATTTTATTTGGTAGTTACGTATACACAAACACTAAAACAAATCAGTAAACTTTCAAGGTAAGTCAATCACAAATCCATAAACTTAGTTTCAAAAGATTTTTTCTTAGGCAAGGAAGATATGCTTCTGTCACAAAATAAATTTCTTGCAATGAAATCATTTGTAACATGATCATGAAAATACATGTAAATACAATTTAAGGGATTTACGGTAAAACACATCCAGAAACATATACAAATGTAGATAATCCCTTGTGTGACGTTAAACTCTAAATATACATAATTTATTTAATCAACAGGATTGGTTGATGAAGTGGATTAGTATTTTTTTGTATTTGAGGTTTGAAGGCTAAACTGAACAACATATCGCTATAAAACATTTAACAAGTACTTTAAAATCTCTTTACGAATAAATCAAAATAATTGTTTTATAAAATAACTGTTTGTGTCAGGTGGGTCTATGATATTAATTGCCAAGAGTTGTAGCTTTTGAATTTCATATTTGCCTAAGGCCTATGTTCTGTTTCTATTGTCCTGTGGGGAATAACTAAAAGCTCACTAATCCAAGTCATACCCTATGTTTTCGAAGCTTGTTATGCATATTTCAGAAGTTTCTTGGTGATCGTATGTGTATCTAATGTCACATGTACATGTGCTCTACAGTGATATATATAGCTTTACCCATGCTCCCCTGAAAACACATTTGAGCCTTACCAAATCATAGACTGGGCAAGTCCAGTTTAGATATGTAGGGGTGAATGAGTGAAGTGTACATATAAATACAACTCCCTCGGATATAGGCTCTACAAAATACTCATGTCAATGTCTCCTAAATTCTCATCAGTGGTTTTTTTTTGTGCATGTGGTTTTGAAACTTTATGTGCATTACATTTTTTATAGTTTATTCTGGGCCACACTGTGATTCCTGATAATCAACTTTCGTGCTGACTTTTTTATCAAGCCTTTTAACTTTCTAAGCTCTCAGTGCATATACAGTTGATTGGAAATTTATTATTTGGATACGGAATAATTTGACTGTGAACAGTCAGGAGTTTACAACTTTTTTTTTATGTTCGATTGGTTCTAGATTTTATTGTTTAACATTCAACCACATTCTAGTTTCCTTTTACAGGTATGTTTCTCTATCTCCATCCTCAGACAGGACATCTTAATTGAAACAATTTCAAATAGGTTAATACTTACTTTATTGAACCTCTAAATGATGAAGGTCTCGATTCAGTTAGTACCAAGGCTAATTATCAACTTCCCACTCACTACAGCGTAATTGTTATTAAATATTTGTGCTGACCTTGCAAGGAAATTTAACCCCTTCACCACTGTAGACCATAATGAACTCAACCAGATCAATGCATGGTAAAATTTACTTCAGTTCGTAGGGGTGAAAGGGTTAAGGAGTCCCATCTCATCTGCCTGTTTAAAGATTTGTTACCATACAGCTTAGAGAGTATTTTACAAAAAAGTGCATACTTTTGCAAATTTTGGGACAAATGAAGTCATTCAATATTTTCTGTTTCAATTGACAATATTCATATCGCTTGAAATTTGTTTGATATTTTTGGAATATGTCACATGAAAATTTAAAAAATAAATAAAATGGTTTCTAAGCTTATCATGCTTAAAACAGCACAGAAGTCACTACGAATCCGCTGTCAATGATATTGTCTCCTTTCCATCAACTCAAATGGTATATATACTAGACCCCCCTCTGGTACTATTGCAATTCACAGCGCATCCCTAAATAGATACATTGTATTAGTCTCAACAAAGGGAGATAATTAAGTTAATAAGTCATTAACGTATTTCACAATTTGTATGAAGCTCATCAATTTGTGTTTATCTCGACACGTGTCATGATCGTGTCCTTGATGGCTGGAGGGTGCTGTGCTACCCTGTCCATCTATGTTCAAGTCAATGTCTTGCCAAAATTAAAGTCATTCAATTCGACACATACCGGGGTTCGTTGTACACTCTCATGATACAGACACAAGTTTCTTAACGTATATATGTATGATCTCATTTATACCCATTCTCACTTGCCTGCCTCCACATGATGCCCTATAACATTGTATTATAGCACCAACCACCACACACAAGACAAAATATTGACCCAACTCACGTGAACATACCACATGTTTCAATCTCAAATCAATATTCCAATATTCCAGTTTCTTTTTCCAACCATTATTTATATAAGAGTGACATGGTATGATAATAACACATGCTATGCACTGGGCTGTAAGAAATCAACAAGGCAGGCGCTGTGCTTTATTGGGATATGAAATATTTCCTTGAGCAGGCAAGACCCTAAGTGGAAGCAGTCTAAACCTAAACCTTATATATATTTCTCTGTTAATCAGAACTGACCAAAGATCAATTCTAATCTCGTACTCTTATCTCAAAATTTCATGTGTATACCCTCCTTAAAATAATATCAAATAGTATGTACATGTAGTAATATGATAGAATAAAGGTTGCTCACTACCCTAACGCTTATAACAGTGACGTGAGAGGAGGTTGCTAACGACAAACTGTCTGTTTATGCCCCTGTAACGTACTAAAGGGGCATTAACCCTTTCACCCCTATGTAACTTGAGAAGACTCTACCATACATTCATCTGGGAGAGTCCATGATGGTCCTCAGTAGGGAAAGGGTGAAGTGTTCGAGATCTCTGCTGGCCTGCTAGATATATAGTTAGATTAACAGAATCTTCCCCTATCTTGAGGGTGTGACAGAGAACTCTACTACCCGGGGGGGGGGTGATTTTTTTGGTTTTCTGGGTTAGACAACCAACAAAAATCCCCCAGAGAATAGGAGATTTCTCTGTTTAACCCTCAAGGTAGGGGATGATTATTTTTCTCTCATCCTATCATTTCAGTCACAACTCCACTGACAATAATCTGCCATGTTTGTAAATAAAACACATGTGGGGTATGAATATCGTCAATCACTTTAGATGACGTCATAATTACACCGGTGACACATTTAATGACGTCATAATTTAACACGTGCTAATCGACACGAGGCTATCTCCCCCTAGGGGGTGACTAATAGAATCTTCCCCTACCCTGGGGGTGTGACAGAGAAATCTCTGTTATACCCTTAAGATAGGAGATGATTATTTTTCTCCCATCCTATTATTTCAGTCAAAACTCCAAAGACAGTTATGTAAACAAAAACACACATGGAGTATGAATATCGTCATTCACTTTTGATGAGATCACAATTACTGGTGACGCATTTTAATGACGTCACAATTGAACACGTACTAATCGGGGGTGACAAGCTGATCTTTCCCGGCTAAAACGGGAGACACACCTGTGAATGGTGGGAGAAAAGCTGATCTCTCCTGGCTAAAACGGGAGACACACCTGTCAAGGGTGGGAGAAAAGCTGATCTCTCCCGGCTAAAACGGGGGATACACCTGTGAAGGGTGGGAGAAAAGCTGATCTCTCCCGGCTAAAACGGGGGACACACCTGTGAAAGGTGGGAGAAATACAAATGTACAGTGTTTATCTTCACTACTCAAATACCAGAAGTCCAGCAGCCAACGATCTTAATATGTGGACACATCTTAATGAATTTTATACCAATGCAACAAATGTAGGTCACTGTGACCTATATTTTCCGCTTCACTGATTTTGACCAGATTTGGCTATCAGATCCATTTCTCCTGGTAAACCTTGTGTTTGCCATCCAAGCACAATCAGAACAAGAACACAGGTATGCTATACAAAATTTCCTAGCTTTACATCTTTTTCAAATCCAAACATAATATAGGGAGGATTTGGTGTGTTTACATGAATGATGTTAAGGGAATTCTATTCACTTAACTATATGCCTGCCCTAACCCCCTCAACACTGTTTCAAGTCTCGCAACATCCAGCATCTGTACCCTATCTGTGGGATATGCATGACTGATGACAATTTTCACCGGTTTTTATACAATTAGCACTTAAATATATACAACTCTCTCATCCACAGTACAGGGAACATAAATAATTTACAATTCCTCATATGTACCAGAAAATTGCTAATAAATCTCCAACTCCTACATACAGTTTTCAACACAGTACATCAAACATTAATCCAGATTTATTTTCCTTATTTAATTTTAAATCAAAACCCACAGGATTTACAATTATAAGAGGCAAGTAGAATCCGATATGTTTCTTGTGTAATTTCCTCTGGCTTTAGAGTCTATGCCGAGCCCTTTATATTCCACTGCCGTAATCCATAATACCTTCCACTTTCCTTCACTTTGACTGATTATTTGATTTCCAATAAAACAGCTGAACAACTTTTCTGATCTTGTTAACGAATATTGGAATTTTTTGTTGGCTTGTCCAACTGATACATGTATACACGTACACATACTCTAACGGAGAGGGAGTGCAGGGGGGGCTCTCCTATAACCATGGTTTAAAACTTCCATCATAGAAACTAACTAGCTCTATTTTATCGGTTTTTGAATTGTTAAGCAGTGTTGTACATCTATAATAAGAAGTGTTATACACAATAGATATAACTATAGTTGATGTATATTAATTCAATTTACTATTCCTATAT